AGTAGTAAGGGTGGGAAGTTTGGTACGAGGAGGAGCGTGTCACCGTAGAGAAATATATATTTAGTCGTGGTTTCGAAGCGCGGCTTGAGGAGACCGATTTTACGACGACCTTGGCTCGGAGGAATCGTAAAACCGCGCGAGGAGGACCGTCCGTGCTATTTTCGAGTGAAATATTCGCGCGTAATTCGCGGGAAAGATCGGACGAGGACGCGATCACTGGTCGGTGAAATATTTTTAACGAACAACAGTGTACAGTCGCGCGTTAATTAATTAATTTATAAATCGAGAGACGAGAAAGAGAGTGGACAAACCTTTCCTCGAACGATCGAGCGTGTTAAGCCCGATTACCGTTCCTTCCTCGGCTAATTAAAAGAGAGAGCGACGCGTAAAAAATCGGCCGACATCTACCCGATTAAACCACGTGACGCGTCGAGATTCTTCGATTTCACCGTTCCTCTAACGGTGTGTCGTGCGCAGATAGGTTCTTCTCTGCTAGATTCGCGGCTTACAACTGTTACGTCGAATACCTCTTCACCCGTTTTGTCCATCTTGCTCTTTCGTTTCCTTCGATAAATCGTTCCTCTTCGAGCGAAATTCGACCTCCTGCACGGGGAGGAATTAACACCGTTTCCTCGCGGTTGTACAATTTGAGGAGGAATCCCGATATCGGCGTCCCTATCGCGGACACTTACGTGCGATCCTTTGGCAATTAATTATTCTGGCCGAGTGGCGAGGCATTTAAACGACGAACGAGGCCGTAGGCCCGTGAGAGGAAAGCGTAATCGCTTCAAAATCGTGTCGTCCCAGAAAGCGAGGGCGGGCCGTCGAAAAACGCGAGCGGAGGGGAACAAGAGCTCGGTCGAACGCGATCGAAACGTTCCGTTGTCCCGCGCCCGTTGACGGAGAAATACCACGCGTGTGCTATTCGCTTTTCGGGGCCGGCGTATCACGGTTATTACGAATTAAACGAAAAAGAGGTTAATTCCGTGGCGGCGGCTAAAACGGTCGATCCGAGCGGCTATTTTCAGCCGGAAACGTGACACTTCATTCATACAAAATACTCGACTCGGCGAGCTCCTCGGCCGACCGACACCTAATTAAATCTGAATTTCCTGCCTCCTCGGCCGTTGCGCATGCGTACGTACTTCCTCCTCGCTTGCCTTCTTCCGCTTCGCTGCGAATCTTATTTTCCACGATCGAACGACACGATCGATCGATTTACTCGCCACTACGGTTTGGCGACGCGGAAGGGTATCGATGATCGATGAGCGTGATCGGTAGCTAGGAAAGGGTTTGGGTGTCGAGGGGAACGAAGGTCTCTAAGTGGAAACGCGTGTTTTCGCCGCTGCCCGGCTGCCCTTTTCGCCCCTAATCCCTGTAGACCAGGTTTCCACCGACACCGACACCGGCAAGGGTCGAGTCGGTAAATCAGCCGGAGGTTGATTCCCTCCTCCTTCCATTCGCCTCCCATCCGCGCGTCCAGTCCAGTCCATCCTCGCGATCGCGGGATTAAGTTGAACGCGCACGGATCAAAACCTTCACCCGTAAGGATTAAACTTTTCCTCTTTTGTACCGCGTCGCGAATCGGGGACTAGCTGTTAAGCGTGACTAGCTTCGGTCGTTGACTCGATCTCCGCTCCGATCCTCTTTTAATCCCCCCTTGTCTTCGCTTCTTTTCCGATCCTCGAAACCGGGCAGCCACCGTTGCAATCGACAATTATATATATATATATATTCCAATTATTCCCGCTAGAATCTATTAAAATCTTACTGCGAGGAAGAAATGTAAGGTTGGATAGGCGCGACCTCGTCGTTGTCGAAAATATTTAACCGACCGTGTCGAATGTCGACCCTGATCGCGACCGAACCGGATCGGATCCGCCGCCAATTTGCGGCCCGTGCTCGGTTGCCCATGCGAGAATTGTGACTTGTGCGTCGTGGAGGAGAAAGAAGGCGGCTCGAGATGGATCGTGATATTTGGAGGGGCGATAGCGGTTGCGCGAAGAGGTTGTCGACGATCGCGGAATACTCGGAGCCCGGGATCGACGATAACGATCATCGTCCACCGTGCGACGAGGAGGAGGAGGAGGAGGGGATATCGATTCCCAGAGGCGATCCCGAGCGAACGCTCGAGGACCAGGCGGCGGCCGTCGAGTACTTCCTCGTGGACGACTCGCCGATGGCGAAGTTCAGTCGGAGCGTCAAGTGGATCTACGAGAAAGTGAGTCTCGAAAGCGGTAGCTCCGTTGAAAAGTGATTTCTCTATTTTTCGAGTTGTCTATTCTTCGAGTTCTTCCAGCGTCCCTTGCCTTTCGAGCATAACTTTTTGAAGTTTCGTCGATGTGAGATACAGCGGGGAGAAAGGAAAGAAAGGTAGTTTGAGGTACGTTTGCCAGAGAGGAGACGGAACGATCGAACTCGACTGCCGGTCGATGTAGTGGAACGTTGGTTGTACGGTTAATGGCGAATCGCAAGCGTGGAATTATCATATTCCGCGAACGTGTGACGTTGACGTTTCTATCGGCTGAAAGGTTCGATTGTACTCTCTAGGTAGCGGTCGGCCGGCTCGTCCTCTCCTCTCCTCTCCTCTCGGTGAAAGAAGCTATTAACCGCACGCAGCCGTACGCCAACGCGTCCTTTTGCTCTGTTTTACTTTCGAACTCCTCGAGCCGTGTCTGCGAAACGGTTCGAACGAAACGTGGCCGCCGTGCACGCCGCCTTCCCGCCGCGGATCACGAAAGTCGTGACGGGTTTTGCGCTTCTCTTCCTTTCTACGACGAGCCGGCCCGTCTACGAAACCCTTCTTCGAAACCGCCGCGATGCATCGACTGGTGGAAAGCTGGTCCTAGCGTGCAGGAATTTTTTTAGGGGAAATTGGCGGACGGAGTCGCGTCGATCGAGACTTGGTGGTCGAAGGAATTTCGAGAATCACGATCGAACGAAGCCGAAGATAATAACCCTCTCCCCTTCTCTCCCGTTATTCGTTATTACACGTATAATGTTTGAAATCCATTTTTCCACATACGTATTTTCGTTTACGATCTCATATGTTTATTTGTTTCGTTGTTTTGTTTTGTTTCGTTTCGTTTGTTTGTTGGTTCGTTTGCAAACAACATTAAACCCCTACGACTGTGGCATCGGTAATGAATACACCGCCGCGTTGGAACGTGTTAATGAACCAGATGACAACATTTCTCGTCTCATCCTCCTCGTCCCCGACCCCGGATGAAATGCTCGGTGGAACGCGGTGCCTGGAATCGAGATAGATCCTCTCGCTCGTTCGCCCTCCCACCCCTCCCTCCTCTTTATCTTTCGCCTCGTCTTCTCCAATCTCTCTCTCTCTCTCTCTCTCTCTCTATATCTGTCTCTCCTCGTCGCGTCGCGTCGAGGAGAGAATGCAGAGAGATCGAGCTACTACCCGATGTCCTCTACCTCCACGTACACGGATTCATCCCCATCCCCGGATAAAGAGCGAAAGTAAGAGGCAGTGAAGCCGGGCACAAAAGAAACAGGGATAAGAAAGACGAGGGAAGGGAGGGAGTCGCGTGTCGAGAGGGTCGGGCGAACTTAGAAACTCTTGTCCGGCTTTCGCCACTCGGCAGAGAGGACCACCTCGAGAAAGAGAGAGAGAGAGAAGAGGGTCTTACGCCGCGAAATGACCTATTTCCCGTCCTCGTGGCTTAAGTTTTTCGAAAAGGGAGGAGAGAGCGCGTGGAGCGACGCGAGCAACTATTAGCCTCCACTGGCTAACCGAGTGTTCTTCGAGGTTAACGAACCTTCCCAGAATTCCGTGCGCGCTTTTCCTTTTTTTTCGCGTATACAATTTCGCGGAATTTCGCGTTCCATCTCTGCTGAGAATTACGCGAAACTTTGGCGTATTTATCGGGTTAGTACGCGCGCCATGTATTCTCCGTTTGTCGGAAATGGAACCACGCCAGAAGTGGAAGAAAATTTCACGGGGGGAAAAGGAGATTCGGCGGTGGAGCGCGCGTAGCCTGACGATGGTCAGGCGATGAAATCGATATCGCGACCCGGTTACGCGAAAGGTGGTAAAATTTTAATTAGCAAATTATGCTGTGGACCCCCGCCGTGATGGCCAACCGAGCTAATCGAAATCTCGATTTTTGGCGGCTCCAATTCGCTTTCTCTCATTTCCCGATTCGCGAGGAGAGAGAATCGTGCGTGCTTGAAATATCTTGGCGCGCCAGGTGGAACGAATAGCCAGGGCCACGGTCTCTACAGATTCTTATCCCGGCTGCGACGCGTTCCGCGCGTCAGCGGCATCTCTCTCTCTCTCTCTCTCTCTTTCTCCTCTTTACGCTCCTTCGATCGTCGATATTATTCCCTCCCTCGATCGATGGAAACCGAACCAGATCCAATTTCTCGTCTCTTCCTCTCCGCCTCCTCTCCCTCCTCGCCATCTCTTTCCCCAAATTTTGTTGCGATTCCATCGAACGTGACGGTCTCTCCTCCTCTATCTCTCTCTATCTCTCTCTCTCTCTCTCTTCCTTTCGAGAAGACGCGAAGAACGAGCCCCTTTACCCCGACGAACGGGAGCGGTGCAGGAAACGAGGTGGGAGCAAGACGAAAGTAATTTGCCGCAGGAAACGCGCGTAATCGCAAAATCGACCACAATGTCGACGTCGTATGCCGAAAGTATGGGAGCAATTTCCATCGGCCGGGTTCCATCGTCCGCGGGCTTCTGTAACGATCAGTCCGCCGTTTGATTGAACGCGAAATTCGCGTTACGAAGTAAACTCTTACGCGTTCCACGTTCCGAATAATACGTATCGCCTCGAAATATCGAAATTCGAGCTATTTCCCCCTCCCCCGCTCATCGTTAATTCCTCGATCGATCCCAATTTTTTCGATCTTTGAACCGTAGCAGCGAAATAAAGAACCTCCCAGGGTACGAGCGAACCGGAACGGAATAGAAAACCTTTTAACGATTTAACCAATCTTTTTTTCCCCCCCCTTTAATGAGAAATTTTTGCCTCCAGGCCAGTACTTCGAGCGCGTAGACGTATACGTGCCGTTAAGTCCCGGAAGGAAGAACCGACTTGGACCGACCTCCCCCCTACAGTGTTGGATCCTAGATTTGTTCGTAGATAGATTCCTCATGCCAGCTCCGCAACAGAACTTGTACCAAGAGGACGATGAAAACTGTCATGGACCGATGGACGGCGTGCGACCGCACGATTTTCCCGAGACCTATGAACAGTTGTTGAAACACTTCTGCGTCAAACCATTCTCTTTGCCCATATATTGTCTGGACAACAAGCGGCGAGTCTGTCAAGATTGCTACGAGAATGGTTTAGATAACGAGGTGCGAGTCCTCTATCAGGAAGGCGGATACCATTCTATGTGCAGGAACGCCGGTGTAGCCAACGCGACCAAATGCCACGTTTGCCAACGGCGCATAGCGTATATAACGCCGGCAGGCTCGTGCACCGAATGCATCGAGGAATTTTTCGAAGTGAGCGGTGAAGATTTGCGGAATATGTCTAGGGGGAAAACCATAGACGTGTTGACGAGGTGGTGATGTAAAACTATTTTTAAAAAGTAAAGGAAACAAAAAGTGAAAAGTGCGAACAATTGGAACACTGTACAAAAAAAGAAAAACAATTTAACGAAGATATCGAATCGAGAGTGCGAGTGATCCGATGATACGACCCCGATGGACAATATGACAACAGTATCCAGCGCTTGCAAAAGAAAAGACGAGAAATCGGAAGAAATATATACTACTAGAAAAGCAAGTATTACCCATCTATTTCTATATATATATATCTTTTCGATCCAACCATCTTTCGCGATTTGTACATATATAATCGATCGTCGAGATAACGAAATCTGGAGACGAGATAGATATCGAAGTCGAGATAGTAGTCGCGGAAATTCGACACCGTGGATCGGATCCCGGTAGGGATACACCCGCGGGACATTCGATCTCTCGGTCGATCGACCGTTTCGTTTCGTTTCGTTTCGAAACCGCAGTTTCGCGTCACCAAAGCGCAAAAGCGAATCGATTTCACCGGAGCAAGTGTCACGTTAATCGAGGCGGGGGTGTGCCACCCTTGCCACGTTAAACGTTGACAACAATCGGAAACAAACGGAATTTTTCTCCTCGTTCGGGAATCGTATCGATACCGAGGCCTTCGACGCGGTACGAGTTACGAGGGCGGCCCGCCAGAATCAATTATTTATTTTCACGCGGACCGCGTTGTGCCGCGTCGTGCGCTAACTCGGTGATCGATTAACGAATCCGCGCACACCCCTCTCTTCCGTCACACGAGATGCGTTTGCTCGGTTAATTTGCCCGGTGATTCGAACAATTTCGCGATCCATTCGATTTAGACAATCCTCTCTTTCTTTTCTTCACTCTCTATCGGATAGAAGATAGAAACGTGCGAGGAAAAAGGAGGAAGGATATTTGTTCGAGATAACGACGAGACGTAAATGGATCTTTCCCCCCCCTCCTGAGAGAGGGAACTCGTCTTTTTTTTTTTTCCTCGTCGCGTGCTATTCATCCCGGGACACCCTGTATAAAGCGATAAATTGGATTCCCGTCGTCGGGGCAACTGGGAGAGGCGCACCTTAATCTTGGCGGAGACTTAACACGCGTACACGTATATATAGCATGATCCGGGCATGAAGAGAGCCGGCCTCGATTAATCATACAGTCTTACGGTGACAGGTCTCTACGAGAGGCTGAATCTTCGCCTTGTTGCTTCGCGATCGGATCGATACACGGTGATCCTATTGAAACTAAATTACTCGCCATTATGAGTCGCACAGCCAGCGTATACTCGATATATACATATATATCTATACACGCTCCGTTTAATCTCTTTTAGATGTTTAATCCTTTAGGATAGGATCGACGATCTCATTCTATTATTATTATTATTATTATTATTTTAGTGGAAAAGAAGTTGGAGTGGAATTGCCACTCCCCACTTCTCAACTATCTATTTATCAATCTATCTATCTATCTATCTATCCACATTCTCGTAGAATTTTTACGAGCTTGAGTTGATCGTATCGATAACGGTCGTCCATTTAATCGAGGAAACGTCGATGATAGTAGTAGAATTTTCCTTTATTTTTTCGTATGACGATTGACCGAGAAATAATATAATCGCGCTTGCTCTTCTTACGCTCACGCGTGTTGTTTTCTCACGGAATGACTTTCCTCGGGAAAGGAATGCATCCTAGCGGCGGCGGCGGCTGCGGCGGCGGATAAAATGATTGCGCGGGGTCGTGGTCGAGTTCAACGACCACGAACCTTGGCTAGAGAAAGAGAATGGATCGAAAGGATCCAAGGGAGATCCCCGCTCGTTCGCCTTTTGGTTATATATATATATGTATCTCTCCTATTCCCTTCGTCTATCCTTGTTCGACCCTAATTATTTTTTACATCGCAACAAATTCGCGTAATTCTACCTCTCCTAGTAAGCTACATCTACAAGCAACGCGAGTAGTAAAATTGTCGGCGAAGACAGAAACACCTAGTGGAATAACTTCCGCCTTTCCCTGCCTTCCTCCCTCCCTCCCCCTTTTTATTCCCCTTTTTCCCCTAGCCAGAAGGCTGGACGAAAGAATTTCGTGTCGGGTATAAAAACTGGTAGCTGGCCGGCAGCCCGTTTTTATCGGCCCGTTTCGCATTATCGGCCGCCGTCCGCCCGTACCGTCCATGTTGGTTTATTCCGAAATTCTTGGACAGATTATGACGTGTTCGATCGTTTATCCGCCGAGACTGGCGCGGCGATGAAAGGGTTCCGCGTTCTGCCCGCTAATTTTTATTCGGCCGATGGCCCAACACCGATAGAGATCGATCGGTTTTTCGCGCGCGCCAACTTTGTACTCGCGTGCGAGTTGCACGCGTGGTAATTTCGCCGCCGGTGAATCGACGTTTCGACGGGATACTCATCGAGCCGGAACGATCTCGAGTTCGATGGACTCCGACAAGTTTCGAGTTTTTTTCGAGGGGACGAGCTTGCGCGCTGTGCTTTCCCTCGAAACTCGAAACTCGGGATGACGAGGAAGAAGGGCAGCCGCCGAATGAAGGAAGAACGAGTCGAAAAATCCGAGAATCGAAGAATTTTTTATATTTTACGATTTTATATTTTCCAAATCTTTGCATCCGATTTTCAATCCACGTCGAGTCCACGCGCCTCCTTCCTCGAGCTGTTCCGTTATTATTTTGTGGGATCTTTCGATTATCGAAATTCGTTACTCGTGATTTTGCAGCAACGCGTCCAACAGTATCGAAATTTCCTTCGTTCCTTCGCTGTTTTTCGAAAGGATAGACGATAGAATGGAACAGTTTTACACTTTCGAAACCGCGCGATGCGTGGCTCTGTAGCCGGCGGGTCAGCAAAAGAAAACGGGATCAGATTTCGAAAGGTCAGCGGCTCGGGGATCGTGCCAATCCTCGGCCTATCGTTTGCTCACAGCGGACGGAAACGATGATAAAAATCTACGGCCACCGAAAGTAAAGTTGGCCCTCCCCCTCCCCCTAAGACACGCACACCTCGATAAAGGATAAACGATAAATCGTGCACGATGTTAGCACGATATACAATCATCTTACGGCCTGATGATCCGGAAGAAACGAACGTTTGAAAGGACGTCGTTAAAAGGGGGGGAGGGGATACGTACGGTCGTACGTTCGAATTAGCCGGAACGACTGCGACTTGTCGAGCGAAGCGAGGACGACAATGGTTTATCGATAAAACGTAACTTTCAGTTTTCGAGTCCACGCCCGTCTTAATCCTCGGCTTCGGTGAAATATGGTGAAATATGGGGGAACGCGGGGATTTCGATCTTGGCGAGCCTCGCTCACTCCCTTCGTCCGTGAAACAAAAAAACGATGGGCTAGCAAGATACGTCGCGAGAAATCGACTCTGCGTATTCTCGTTACATTTGTTCTTTGGAATAGGAAAATCTTGACGAATAGTATCGTAAAAAGTATCGTAAATCTTTATTCGTTAATTATCCATCGAAGATTATGAAAATAATATCGTTTGAAAGAACCCAAAATTTTCTCTGAAAATTTTCTCAAAATATCGGATAATCTCTAATATGGCTGTTAACCTACCTGCGAAAGGATTAGAGACAGGATTAGAGGATTATTGACCTCATTCGCGGTGTAATAATAATATCCACATCAAATCATTTCTAACCCTGACTGAAGGGATTAAAAATTTTCAATTACGGAGATAGGAAAGAGCGAGGGGGAAAGAAAGAGGGGGAGAAGGAAGCGCGTTATTCCGGGCCGCGATGCACGTTCGAATAATCCGCGGGAAATTCGTCACGGCCGACTGACCGCATCATTCGACGATAGTTTTAGCGGACGAGAACGTGCCTCGTCACTGTCGCGCCATTCCCGTCCGTTCTCTCCTTTTTATTTTTTTATCTTTCTTTCTATTCTCTTTTTTCCCCCCTCCCCCACGCGCAATTTCCGCGCTACCCACCAACCCGTCGATACTCATTCCCCTTTCTTCTTCGCCTTCGTACGCAGACCGAGGGGAAAAATTGATTCGCCCAAGGTAGACCAGGTTTTCCTTCGCGTTTCCATCCCGTTTTCGTTCGGTCGTAAAACGGATAATTCTCGAATCGACGTTCCGCGGATTGACCGAAAAATTCATCTTCCCTCCTCCCGTGGACCGCGGGGGAACGTCGGGCGAGGATGGAATTTTCCCCGGACGAGGGAAAAAATGGGGAGGAATTTTTAATGGAAAATTTGGCGGAGAGAGAGAGGGGGCGAGCTTCGTCGGATTTTTGAGAAACGAGAAGTGGAGAAGTGAAATCCGTGGGAGATCGTTAAAAATGTAAACGATGCGAAGGAAAAACTCCTTGCTATCCCTCTCCCCTTCGCGAATAGGGCTAACGCGAAGGAGGAGGGCTTGGTTGGTTCGGGTTGTCCTATCGGGACGAACACGTGTATAAAATTACTGATATCACCGGTCGAGGCTGTCGGACTGAAACGCGAGGAGGGATGCCGTATTTGCAAGTTAAATTAGAGCAGGATAAAAAAAAGAGGCGGGAATATGGGCTGGCAGGGGGAAAAAGGAACGGGGATTTTTATCAAACTTATGACTGGGCATAGCGGGGAACGAAAACTTTCCACTTTCCATCCCTTTCCTCGCGCGGGGGGCGGACCGTTCTTTCGTCGTTCGAGATTCATAAGCTTCTCTCTCTCTCTCTTTCTCTCTTTTAACTCGTAATTTCAACAATTCGAGTGGTCTCGAGACGAGAGGGCGGAAATTCAACTGCATTTGGAGAGATCAATTCTGTCGCGTGTCTCCCTCCTCCCCCGGGGTTGTGGAAGAAAGAGCGGTTTAGTCGCGAATTAAACGAATTCGGCGCACAACAACGCACCCGGCCGATGTTCGAACCGATCGAAACTATTGTAGTCTCGGCTCCTCCCTCTTCTTTTTTTTTTTTTTTTCCCTCCGCAAAACCGAATCCGAATTCGATTCGACCCGATTCGTCGATCGTTGCGCGTCGTCGAGCGATGTTGCGCAGCGATGCTTCTCGCGTGGAGAAACATCATTGTTTGGAAAAATCTCGCGTAAAAGCTCTTCGATTTTTCTTTTCCTTCCGTTCTTCGCGTAGGATCTTTTGGATCCTTGGAACGTTGCGAATTGTCCCGTTCGAGATATTAATTTTATTACACACTTCGAGTATAGATTATCGAAGATGGAAGATATTTGCAGGGTGAATCGAGAGATTCGTAACGAGCGTTAA